GCATTATCAAGGAACAATAGTGCGAGTAGTCACGAAAGCACTTGGAACTTCTCTATTCTCTCAGTGGTTGTTTTGCATATTCTAAAATCACCTGTTTACTGTGATCTTATTATATATATTTATATATATATTATATATATATATAATATATATATATATATATATATATATATATATATATATGCAATAAGATCATAAATGTGTCGTATAGATAAAATTGGTCAGTTAGCAAGAACTCGTTTAAAATTGTCCTTTGTAAAATTTTCTCTTATACATTTTAAGATTTTTTCATTTATGCTAATGTAAAAATTAATTTTTTCCAAAAGAATTTTAGAAAAGTTACCTAACCTTATAACAAGTGCAATTTAATTTAGCCTAATCCAGCTAAATATATTTGATAAGTTTACAATAATTTAATAAACACAATTAAATATGTATATTACTTTTCGTTAGGTTCAGAATGATTTTTTTTTTTTGCGAAATTATTGCATACACAAATTTTCGCTTGCCTTATACAGGAAGAAGAGCGTTGTTATTTAAGCCAAAATAGCAAGTTTTACCTGTTCGGCACGATATATATATATATATATATATATATATATATATATATATATATATATATATATATATATATATATATATATATATATATATATAATATATATATATATATATATAATGTCGTGCCGAATAGGCAGAACTTGCCATCTTGGCTTAAATAGCAACACTCATCTTGCCATATAGGACAAGTGAAAATTTGTGTATACAATAATTTCACCAAAATCATTCTGAACCTAACGAAAAAAATATATTTGATTGTGTTTGTTTAGTACTAAATTATTGTAAACGTATTTAAAATATATTTAGTTGGGTTAGGCTAAAATAAATTGCTCTTGTTATAATAAGGTTAGGTAAATTTTCTAAGATTCTTTTGGTGCAAAATTAAAATTTTTTACATTAACATTAATGAAAAAATGTATCTTTTAACGTATAAGAGAAAATTTTAGAAAGGACTTAATTTTAAATGAGTTCTTGCTAATTGACCAGTTTTACATATTCGGCACGACATATATATATATATATATATATATATATATATATATATATATATATATATATATATATATATATATATATATATAATTACACAAATGCAGTATTACAAACCTCACGCCACAAGCCTATCATAAATTCAGCTCATATGGCCACAACCCATGCAACTGATATTAGTGGAATTAAGGGTGTGTGTATGAGAGTGAGGGAGAGGGGGAGGTAGGGATTGATGGATGGTGAGCTCGTGTGAGCGCGTGTGCGTTGTTTGTTGGTTTCGTGACTCTGCCCCTGACTCCAGCTTGTATAGAGAATGACCAAGACTACTTGGATGGGCATAGCTCATTTCTGGTCTCTGCTTTTGAAGGCGTGTATCATGAGTACCACTGCGTCATACAAGTCATTAGATATGTCAGGCACCCTGAGGCTATAGAAATAGTTCCTTGCATCCCATTGGCTCATCTGTCTTCAGCTTCCGTCTGTGTCCTCTTGATTTCGTCCCTCTTCATTTAAACAGTCTATCTGCCCTATCAGTTCCTCTTAGGATTTTGCATATAGAAAACATGCCGCCCTCTCTGTCAAGGTCGTCAAGCTTAGTTTCTTTAACCTTTACTCAGGGTGCATTCCCTTAATTGCAGTGAGAGATGCGTGTTATACACATACATACATGCATGCATGCATACATACATACATACATACATACATACAGTCTAGGGGGCCAGAGACTACAAACCTCACTCAAGGAAAAGGATCTTGGGGTGAGTATAACACCAGGCACATCTCCTGAGGCGCACATAACTGCTGCAGCATATAGGCGCCTAGTAACTCTTAAGAACAGCATTCCAACACCTTAAGGAATCATTCAGGACCCTGTACACCTTAAGGAATCATTCAGGACCCTGTACACTGTGTACGTTAGGCCCATACTGAAGTATGCAGCGCCAGTTTGGAACCCCACACCTAGCCAAGCATGTAAGAAAACTAGGGAAAGTGCAAAGGTTTGCAACAAGACTAGTCCCGGAGGTAAGGGATATGTCCTACGAGGACATACTGGAAGACAGGAGAGATAGGGGGGATATGATAACGACATATACTGAGATAAATCGACAAGGTGTAGAGATGGGACACAGCAACTAGGGGTCACAGTTGGAAGTTGAAGACTCAGATGAATCACAGGGATGTTTGGAAGTATTTATTCAGAGTTGTCAGGAAGTGGAATAGTCTGGGAAGTGATGTAGTGGAGGCAGAATCCATACATAGCTTTAAGAAGAGGTATGATCAAGCTCATGGAGCAGGAAGATTGACCGAGTAGCTGCCAGTGAAGAGGCGGGGCCAGGAGCTGTGACTCGACCCCTGCAACCACGACTAGGTGAGTACATACATGCAAGGGTTACACCAATACATAAAGGTGGTGACCCTACAGATTTAAACAACTATAGGCCAATATCAAACTTACCATTGCTATCCAAAATCTTTGAGAAACTCGTGCACAGGAGACTATATTCATTTATAACGGCACAAAACATACTCAACCCTTGCCAATTTGGATTCAGGAAAAATAAAAGCACTAACGATGCAATCATAAAAATGATAGATCTGCTTTACACAGCATTGGAAAATAAGGAATATCCACTAGGAATTTTTATTGACCTAAGAAAAGCTTTTGACACAGACCACGGCATCCTACTCCACAAACTTGACCATTATGGTATAAGAGGCCACGCTTGCATATTTCAAATCTTACCTTACTAATAGGTATCAGTATGTCACCATTAAAGACAGCATCAACAACACGACCACTTGATACTGGAGTTCCGCAGGGAAGTGTCCTTGGTCCCCTGCTCTTCCTCATATACATCAATGATCTTCCAAATGTATCTCAACACCTGAACCCCATTCTCTTTGCTGACGACACGACTTGTCATCTCTCACCCTAATCTTGCCACCCTCAACACCATTGTTAACGAGGAGCTGATCAAAATATCGACTTGGATGACAGCCAATAAACTTACGCTTAACACTGACAAAACCTACTACATTATGTTTGGTAGCAGAGCAGGAGTTGCGCAAATTAACATTAAGATCGACAACACTAATTGCCAGACATAATAAGGGCAAATTCCTAGGCCTATACCTCGACAATAACCTGAATTTCAGCACCCATATCCAACACATAACCAAAAAAGTATCCAAAACGGTTGGGATCCTCTCCAAGATACGATACTATGTGCCACAAACTGCCCTTCTCACACTATACTATTCACTTATATATCCATACCTCACCTATGCTATCTGTGCTTGGGGTTCAACTGCAGCAACACACCTAAAGCCAATAATAACCCAACAAAAAGCCGCAGTAAGAATAATCACTAAATCCCATCCCTGGCAACACACCCCACCACTCTTTATAGATCTAAACTTACTCCCTGATCAGTACATCCACACTTACTACTGTACAATCTACATCTACAGGACCTTAAATTCCAATGTTAACCTTGACCTAAAACGCTTTCTTGATAGCTGTGACAGAACCCACAGGCATAACACCAGACATAAACATCTCTGACATTCCCCATGTCCGACTAAACCTTTACAAAAATTCAATGTATGTCAAAGGCCCTAAAATCTGGAACACCCTACCTGAAAACTCTAGAACTGCAGACACATTCATCACCTTCAAAACTACCATTAGAAAACATCTTATCTCCCTGATACACCCTGTCAACTAATTACACGGATACCACCTGGTGGTTCACACTTACACTCACCCATTTGACCATAAACAGAAACATCAATCTCAATCTTAAAATAATGAATCCTAACTAGTGATAAGTTGGCCTGTGATACTCCAATACTGAAACTATGTATTGTGCCAAAACAAAAGCATTCACATTGCTAAACTCACAAACTAGTATTTAGTCACTTAGCCATAATACCAACTTACCTCATAATTTGTAATATTTTAAATTTAAGATCTAATCTAAGTCTGCCCGAAATGCCTAGCCATGCTAGGTGTTCTAGTGGTACACTCTGTAATTATTATTTTACTACATATAAACCACACAATAACCAAATTCTGTAAACTCAGCATTGTAATCCTTATAGAGAATAAACTTTGAATTGAATTGAATTGCGTGCAGGAAGTATGGAACGTGTACATTACTGGGGAAGATACATAGTGCAGTGTCTGGGGGCAGGGGAACGTGAGGTTATGGGAGGCAGTGTGGTAATGTTGTAAGAGAATGTTGTAGTGGAAATATTGCGGAAGATGATGTGATAATACTGTGCAAGTTAATGTGTTGGTAATGTTGTGGGAGATATTGGTATGGTGTGGGGATAATATACTGTATGTGGAGCATAGTTTGTTTGTCTACCACACGCACTCGAAACTAAATACTATATTAATCAGCAGGTAATTTTACTAAGAGGGATTAGGCTTAAACCCAGCAACTAATGCGATAAAAGCTGGAGAGGTTTAATAGCTTGCATTACCGGGAGGTAATTAAGCATGGCGAATTTTGGGTAACTGCACTTACCAAGAGCTTCATAATTACAGGTTCACATAAGGGTATTGTCATTATGTCATGTACCTGGTAAATTCATATTTGATTTCAGTTAATTTTTGTCATTTTAATTGCCACTTTTAGGGAAAAGGACACCTGTGCAAGTAATGTGACCTCTTACTGTAGCAACCTTTCTGCAGTAACATGTCACATTAGTTAAACACGTCTTTTTATTTAACATTAGTTCTACCAACAATGTATCATCGATTACACAGTCCCAAAAACGTACATTGAATTATACGTGTATGAGAAAATTAAGAACTGGAGCAGTAAATTGCCTCTGTGAACCGAGGCAGCATTAAAATAAGCATCCATATCATGCATGACGTGAGAAAAAATGTATATTTTCATTTGTGCAGACTGTATTTAATTTAACAATATTTCCAGAGAGGATTGTGATGACGCCGAAGGGAAAAACTGCAACATCTACAACTATTATGGTGGAACGACGGAAGATGGCAATTCAGGAGGGCAATGTCCATGTTGGTGGGGGCCAACACTCTGGCATCATCATCAATAAAGATACCAGAACTGGTGAGTGGTAATTGGTAAGGGTCCTAACCTGTGGCTTAGCATCTCCATATGTGGGGGCCTCAAATTTTTACCACCCTATTCCCATACTGTACTACTTATTCATTCCCATTTCCTGTATTACTTGTTTCCATTTTTTTAAGCCCTTCCCAGAAATGTAGCCTATTATAGTCAACAATTTCAGGGCAAATACTACTTACTGCTAGGAACGGAAGGTATTAGAAGACTTTGTACATTCTGCCCCACCTAGGGTTCATCCTTGAATACTTTCAGTTGAGGTGACTGTATTACTACTGTGCTTTGAGGTACTGTACCTATGTGCTCTGATACAAAAAAAGTGAGGGAAACTACATTTGTATACATATTGTTGGTCACTAGTTCAACTCGAGAGGAAGCCGTTGCAAGTGGAGACAGCTGTACCTCATTTCTTATTGTTAAATAAAAAAAGTATTATACAGTTCGTGTGCATAGCAAAGCAGTCTGCTTTTGGTGAACCTATAAACGAATCTGTTACATTAAGAGCACATTATATTAAATGATATGTATATGGTACATTAATCTCAGCCTGAGTACCCATAGATACTACACTGGAAAAAGTCAAAATTCTCATTAAATACTTTGGTGGTTACAATAAAGTCCTAATGCATATTGTATTTTCTTAGAAGACCTGGAGGACACGCCTGCCCACTTGCAATTGGAGTTTAAAGTATTTTTAATAAATGCTCAAACACAGAAGCACACACAAGAGAGCAGACAGCTAAGATTTTGGTTTCAAAGTTGTGTACCAGAAAAGGAAAGGCTAAGGAGTGCTCAGGAGTTCTTCAAGGAGTTAGTAGCTCCCCTTGAATTTCCAAGAGGTAAGCAGCTCAACTGTTAATTTCTTTTTACCTCGAATGTATTTAAATACAATGGCTTGAATTTCCTTGTCTACTCATACAGTATTTGGTACCATATGTGCAGTAGTTAAATGTTGTACAGTATCTGTAATGGTAGTTAAGAAAATATTAAGAGCAGCTGAATTAGTTGAAAAAAAAATTATATTCATGATCCTCCTTCATGTAATGGTAAATTCCAAAATAATTACTTCATGTAAAATTCAGATAATTTTAAGAAATTTATAACTCTTGGGAGAAAAAAGCCAGTATTCAGTGTTATCTAGCAAAGTGTACATTATTTTCTAAATACTAATGTTAGACATAATTCAATACATCAGATTATGTTGGTTTCATCAAGAAGATAATGAAAATGATGCAGCATAAATACAAAATGTTGAGCAAGACTGAGGTAGAATTGAGGCAGCTTGAGGAGTCAGACAAACCCCCAACAAGGCCCAGTGAGTAATCACTACTTGTTCATCACTTTTGTTGCATCATCTTTGCCATAGATGCAATCAGTCCTTCATGCAATTTGTTTTACTTTATAAAGGTTATGAATGGATATGAATTAAGCATAAAATATTCATTAGTGAGCTAAATTTATATTATATTTACCTTCATGAAATTAATCACTACATAGTTGTATTTCTTTTGGGATTTTAATATACACGTATATGTATAAACACATCACATAAACACGCAACTTTATCATTTCCTATTTAGTAATTACAAATTCCATTATTACAACAAATGCTGTATGTATTGGCTTTTGTTCTGGGCTACAATAATATTAAAGAAAGATACAAAATACAGTATTGTACAGTACATGAAAAAAAACTGTTGACATGTTTTGGGGCTTGTCTTCAGCGAGGCCAGGTGTGGTTCTGTACACGGTGGGATGCAGTGAACCTGATGCAGGTGCCCTTTCCTAGTAGAATTTGATTCTACTAACAATTTTGCAGTAACTCTAATCAAGGATTATGTAGATTTGGCACTTTATTTTTGTATTTGTTATTTTCTACCACTTTATATAATTCTGGAAGTGAATGATTTTCCTCAGCCTCCGATACAAGAACTAATTGCCTGCATCTTGGATAACTGAATATACAGTAATAACAATAACCCTCATTATGTATTTCACTGGAGTTTTTCTTGTATCTGTTTTGAGATGAGTAAATTTTATTTTCATTAAATTATTTGTTTTAAACTAGTTTGGAATTACTTACATAGATCTTGTAGCAGTAGGTAATCATCGCTTAATGACACAGATGCCTTCCACAAAAGTTGTACAGTATATCAAAGTGTTCTCTGTTGGAAGACACTGTCCCATAGACCCTCATTATATAGCTATTTGTTGTTGCATTCACACGAACATAAGAAAAAAGCACAGCAGTAGGTCAGCTGCCTTACTGCAAGTCCTCTTCACCTAATCATTCTCACTTCATCAGTTCAACCTGCCCATTCTTCGGACTGTCTACTTATTTTCTCCAGTAACACTGCTTGGTAATTTATTTATCTTATCCATAGCACATTTTCGTGGTTGGATAAGCAGCATGTACAGTTTGTTGTAAGAAAATTTTGATTAATATTGTAAATCATAGAGCACTATGCATGCACCAACACTGTTTATACAAAGAATGGTAAAGTTTGGTAAAAAACAAATGAGAAAAAATATAAGTGGAACATGCTGTAACAGTTGTCAGTTTTTTGGCATGAAGATGATGTGAAATGTACTGGATAATAGTCTTTCTCTTAACCTTTGAACCATATCAGTCATTATCACTTTATTAATAAAGATTTTGTAATTTATCTAAATATAATGCCACTAGAGAAATACTGTACATAAAGAGTCATCTACCTGAACTTTTGGCACATTGCTTAGAATCCAAAATCAAAACCAGGCTTTTAATGTGATATGCTCAGTTGATTCATAGGACACCCATAAGTTTTCAGCTGAAAGTCTTGTGGAGTATGTGGTACTGCTGTTACAAGTATTTAAGCAAATATGGCTGCATGAATTTTTGTTTCTTTGCTCACTACTCAAAATCAAAACCACCTTAATAAAATATGTTTACTATATTTATTGGAACCATTAATATTTTTTTTATGGATTTCAATGTTAATACAATAAGATGAACATGAACAGAAATACATTTAGTACAGTATGCAGGACAAGGCATGGAGGGGCGGAAATCTTTAGCTCAAGATTTCCACCCCTCCGTGGCTTGTCTTGCATAGTTAAGATCGCCCATCTGCAATTGTTTGCATTAGTACAGTATGTACATACTTTTGGAATGGTGCTTATGGAGCAACCTTTAAATTCTAAAAGTCCTGGCTTTCTCCTGAATTTCCAATAAGCCAGGAACACTTCATTGTGAAGCTTGTGCATAGTTTCTTGTAAATAATATACAGTAGTCTTCTATAACTCACTGAGCAAATAAATAAGTTAAATGAGATGGATGAAGAGCAGTTTGTTTCTCGCCAGTATCAGCGTGCCACAAGATAGCACTGATGTCCTTTTCGTTTAATACCTTTTCGAAACTTCTGGTGGCTGTATTAAAATGTAACATAAAATGTTGAAGTAGGGCAGAAAATGTATTGGCTTCAGTCACTTTGTATTCCTTGGAGATTAAAAATTGCAAATATTTGCTAGGAAGCTAGTTTATGCCAAGTAGCAACACCACAGTGTGATAGGTAGTGTGTGTTCCAAGACACTGTATTGCAGGAATGGACTTGATCATGTTTACCTGATATATAACACGTCATGAAGTCCAGCCCTGGATGAAACATTATAGTGGTAATATTTTCCTGTTATATAGTGTCTTTCTCTACTGGTGAGGTGAGTTGCTGCATCAGTTGTCATATGTCTACCAATAATTCAAGGGTGTTGTATAGCAAATGGGTCCTTATTGTTTCAAATTTTTACTATACTGTACTATACATTAAAATGTCGTGCATCAAACCATTGTTACGCGATGATTACCTATAGGTTCTAATCTTATATTTTATTAACATTTGTATTTAAAGTGTTCATTAGATTTTATTAATTTGTGTTTAATGAATATTGTGTATGTTGTTCATCTTGTTACTGGAACAAAAAAATTAAAATGTAAATAACTGAAGATATTACATGTTTTAGTGAAGGCTTTTTGTTGTAAAATAATAAATATTAAGAATGCTAACTTTTCATACAATATCAAAAGAAACTACATTATATTTATGCTTAGTATGTACTGTACATGATTTTTTTTTTAAATTTACTCCTACCATTAATTATAGCAAAGTTTAGTACCTATAAAGTACGTATTGGAACATTGCAACATGGCTATATTCTCTACCTTCATTCTACCTGCCTTTTTTTTTTTTTTAACAAGTCGGCCATCTCCCACCAAAGCAGGGTGACCCAAAAAGAAAGAAAATTCCCCCCAAAAAATACTTTCATCATCATTCAACACGTTCACCTCACTCACACATAATCACTGTTTTTGCAGAGGTGCTCAGAATATGACAGTTTAGAAGCATATACGTATAAAGATAGTAGGTAGTAGGTTGGTAGAGAGCAACCACCCAGGGAATTACTACCGTCCTGCCAGATGACTGTGAAACAGACACCTGTAACTGTTTTGCATGATGGTAGGATTGCTGGTTTCTTTTTCTGTCTCATAAACACGCTAGATAACAGGGATATCTTGCTACTCCTACTTACACTTTGGTCACGCTTCACAGACACGCACATGCATATATATATACGTACATCTAGGTTTTTCTCCTTTTTCTAAATAGCTCTTGTTCTTCTTTATTTCTTCTATTGTCCATGGGGAAGTGGAAAAGAATCTTTCCTCCGTAAGCCATGCGTGTCGTGTGAGGCGACTAAAATGCCGGGAGAAATGGGCTAGTAACCCCTTCTCCTGTAGACGTTTACTAAAAAAGAGAAGAAGAAAAACTTTATAAAACTGGGATGCTTGAATGTGCGTGGATGTAGTGCGGATGACAAGAAACAGATGATTGCTGATGTTACGAATGAAAAGAAGTTGGATGTCCTGGCCCTAAGCGAAACAAAGCTGAAGGGGGTAGGGGAGTTTCGGTGGAGGGAAATAAATGGGATTAAATCTGGAGTATCTGAGAGTTAGAGCAAAGGAAGGGGTAGCAGTAATGTTCAAGGATCAGTTATGGAAGGAGAAAAGAGAATATGAATGTGTAAATTCAAGAATTATGTGGATTAAAGTAAAGGTTGGATGCGAAAAGTGGGTCATAATAAGTGTGTATGCACCTGGAGAAGAGAGGAATGCAGAGGAGAGAGAGATTTTGGGAGATGTTAAGTGAATGAACCAAGTGAGAGAGTAATTGTGGTAGGGGACCTGAATGCTAAAGTAGGAAAAACTTTTAGAGAGGGTGTGGTAGGTAAGTTTGGGGTGCCAGGTGTAAATGATAATGGGAGCCCTTTGATTGAACTTTGTATAGAAAGGGGTTTAGTTATAGGTAATAAATATTTTAAGAAAAAGAGGATAAATAAGTATACAAGATATGATGTAGGGCGAAATGACAGTAGTTTGTTGGATTATGTACTGGTAGATAAAAGACTGTTGAGTAGACTTCAGGATGTACATGTTTATAGAGGGGCCACAGATATATCAGATCACTTTCTAGTTGTAGCTACACTGAGAGTAAAAGGTAGATGGGATACAAGGAGAATAGAAGCATCAGGGAAAAGAGAGATGAAGGTTTATAAACTAAAAGAGGAGGCAGTTAGGGTAAGATATAAACAGCTATTGGAGGATTGATGGGCTAATGAGAGCATAGGCAGTGGGGTCGAAGAGGTATGGGGTAGGTTTAAAAATGTAATGTTAGAGTGTTCAGCAGAAGTTTGTGGTTACAGGAAAGTGGGTGTGGGAGGGAAGAGGAGCGATTGGTGGAATGATGATGTAAAGAGAGTAGTAAGGGAGAAAAAGTTAGCATATGAGAAGTTTTTACAAAGTAGAAGTGATGCAAGGAGGGAAGAGTATATGGAGAAAAAGAGAGAGGTTAAGAGAGTGGTGAAGCAATGTAAAAAGAAAGCATACTCCAGATTTAATCCCATTTATTTCCCCCCACTGAAACTCCCCTACCCCCTCCAGCTTTGTTTCGCTTAGGGCCAGGACATCCAACTTCTTTTCATTCGTAACATCAGCAATCATCTGTTTCTTGTCATCCGCACTACATCCACGCACATTTAAGCATCCCAGTTTTATAAAGTTTTTCTTCTTCTCTTTTTTAGTAAATGTCTATAGGAGAAGGGGTTACTAGCCTATTGCTCCCGGCATTTTAGTCGCCTCATACGACACGCATGGCTTACGGAGGAAAGATTCTTTTCCACTTCCCCATGGACAATAGGAGAAATAAAGAAGAACAAGAGCTATTTAGAAAAAGGAGAAAAACCTTGATGTATGTATATATATATGCATGTGCATGTCTGTGAAGTGTGACCAAAGTGTAAGTAGGAGTAGCAAGATATCCCTGTTATCTAGTGTGTTTATGAGACAGAAAAAGAAACCAGCAATCCTACCATCATGCAAAACAGTTACAGGTTTCTGTTTCACAGTCATCTGGCAGGACGGTAGTACTTCCCTGGGTGGTTGCTGTCTACCAACCTACTACCTGATTGAATTGAATACTCTTTATTACCTGAATTGAATACTCTATATTAATTTAATATAAAGTTAACCAGAAAACAGCCCTTAGGAGAAACAAACAATGTTTTGCTCTAAATTGAGCTCCATCACTAAAGGTTTGCTGTGTGCATTAATGTTTATTTATCATGTTCAGTATTTTCCATAGTTCTCTTCAGTCAAGCTGGTATATATTTTTCAAGAGAAAACAGTCAAATAGTGTAACACCTTTAATATGGGAGAAGGACATTGTCACAACCAACTCTTAACATGTTCACTGGTCATGTTGCACTGGACAACCGTTACAGATTTCTGAGTAGTACAGTCATGCAACGATAATGTATAGTTGTCTTTCACATTTCTTTAAAATACAATGTTCACTTTTGAATGCCTTATTTGGCAGATAATATTCAGTACTGTACTGTACATACACTAATAATTTTATTAAGCAGTATTCTATGCAACTTTTATATATCATTGTTTTATTAAATATTTATTAAAACAATTGCCTTAAAATTTTTATTTATTGTCTTTATAGCAGAATTGTTATTAGTTTGTGTGTTATTTTTCCTCTAGAAAGAATAGAGATCATCCCATTTTTCTTATTATAACTTGCGTATTTCAGTGGAGGATCAGAAGGCTGAACTAAGTGAAGAAAAAGTGTTAGAGATGATTGAGTCTTCGTACCCTAACCCCATTACTGTTAAGGACATGGCCAAGTAAGTGAAAACCGCATGTCTTTGAAAATTGATTTCATTGCTTCTTCAAAGTAAACTGTTAAAATTGGGGCTTGAAAAGCTGAATATTGGAGGTACTTGGTACTTGTCTTTTCACAAAGTGGTATTAATGTTGAAATTCATAAGAAAACTGAATCAGATTATAATTCCACTGTATTTCATCCAGTGAATTCACTTGCTTTGCAACTAGTGCCATTATTCATGGAAAAAAGAAAACTGCTCATATAAGCTTGTGCATATTTTTTAACGAGAGACCTAAAGGAATTTGTAAACGGCATTTATTTTCTGGGTCAGGATTACTGGGGTTTGAAGGGTCGTCTGGGCAAGTAAGGATTGAAGTGATGGTGAAAGTTTTTTTTCTTTTTCGGGTCACCCTACCTCAGAGGAGATTGCTGGTGTTTAAAAAAACTATTTTTTCCAATAAATTGTTTGATAATATTTTTTATTTTGTTGAAACTCCATTCAGAAATGGAAATGAGTGGATGGTGTCTGATACTCAGTTCACGTGAAGTCTTTGCCACAAGATAAATATTTTGCTTTACGATATATTTTTACGTAATTTATGAAAAACCAATAAATTTACATTAATTCTAGCTTGTGCAGCATCATGTGATATGTGTATTTATGCATTATTTATTCTACAGGAGAGCATCAGCATCATTAGAAGATGTAGAACTGTATATTGCAGCACTAACGGAGAAAGGTCTGATTAAACCAATGGCTCCTGGTTGCTTCACGCGTATTGTACAAAATGAAACTGACGTTAAGGTTTGAGGATTGCCGCCTTCATTAATTCTTTGTTTTACCTTTGAGTTTATTTATACATCACTTAAATGATAGTTTTTTCTTTATTAGGTTCTTTGAATATTCCAGGCATTACAGAAATGTGGTGTATGCTGAAAGATATTATAGATTATTATTATTATTACAATCATGGGGGAGTGCTAAACCCGTAGGATTATACAGCGCATGGGGGGGGGGGGGAAGGGATGGAAGGTATTCAGGCTCAATTCAAGGAACCGGAGCACAGATCCAGTTTCCTGAATTGAACCGCAGTTAACTTATAGCTGTCTTCCATAAAAGTATAAAAGTATTTTTCATAATCTGAGCTCTTTCTGGAAAAAATAGAAATAAAGCATTTAGGATTAATAATATGTAATTGGGAAAATAATTTGTAAAAGAATTATTTTATGCCAGTTGATGAAAATAGTCAAATTTATGTAAAAAAGAAAAATGAAAGTACATTGGAACCTCGATTTTCATATGCCCTGGTTTCGTAGGATTCGGTTTTCAACGACCTTTTTTTTTTTTTTTTTGTCAAAATTTAGTCTCGGTTTTCATAGAGGTGACAATGGTCCGCCATACCAAATGTGTCTGCCTGCCTGCTCCCTCACAAAGCATCCCATGCATTCTGACTCAGTCTGGCTTTGTTTCTCATTGAGTGAGCATTGTGAGAGTGTGCCTTCTTCAGTGATTAAGGACGTGTGTGCAAAGTGGAATAAGTTGCAAAGCTTTGTGGAAAAATATCACCCTAACAAAGCTATTGCAAGCTGTGTCTGCAACATATTCATTGACAATGCCTTGTCCCATTTTAGGCAAATCTTAGAGACACCAGAAACAGACCTCTCTGGACAGATTTTTTGTGCGACAGGTCCAGTGAATCTCAAGCTGGTCCTAGTGCCAGTAAAAGACAAAGAAGGGAAGTAACCCCAGATAGGGCTTCGATACCTGAAGTCCTTATGGAGGGGGATTACCCTTCCAAACAATAACCTCTCCTCCCTCTCCCCTCCTTGCCGTCTTCCATACTCCAACGAGTCTTCCATGAAGGTAAAAGTGTTGTTAAATGTTCGTTTATCCTTTTCATTAGTCATTTATATTTATTTCTCATTTTTTTGTATGTAAAACTATAGTTATTCTCTATAAAATGTATTTTTTGAATGGATTAATTGGTTTTACATTATTTCTTATGGGAAATATTGCTTCAGTTTTCGTACAATTCAGTTTTTGTCAGACTTCTGGAATGAATTAATCACGAAAACCGAAGTTCCACTGTATTTACTAGACTTTAAATTTTGATATTTTTCATTATTATCGGTGTTTTTATTTAAAGGTTCAAAGTGAGGTTTCAATAGTAGGTATTTAAGATTGAAGAAATACAATTAAATAATGCATAATACTTATAATTTGATTTATAATGACATGGGAAATCATAAAAATCACAGTTGCAAACAAATCACAGAACAGATGGGGCTTGAACCCATGGTTAGTTGAGTCCTAAAACTCACAGGTCAGTACTTACCATGAACCAGTGGTTAGTACACTGTCCTGCAAGTTTGAGGACTTGCAAATAAGTTGTCAGAATGTCTTAACAAAGCTAGATCTACAGGTATTGTTAAGCAGAAGCTGTTGGATTCAATACTATAGTAAAAACTGCAGTTAAAGTTGTTTTCTTCCTGTGTAGGTTGTGAGACAGATGCCAACAATAACAACAAACAAGCAGCCCACTATTGCCATCATCACAGCACACTATTCTGAGAAGCTTGCTGTTGATACTATGATTGAAAATCAAGAGACTTTTGTCAGATACACCACTGTTGGTAAGATTATTTAAGTTCTCATATGAGATGTGTATTGTTAAATATTTAAAAAAGTTTCTTGAAAAATAAATAGCATATTACTCATTAAAAGCATTTAACTTGTATGCTTAGGTATTGTCTAATAATATAAAGAATAATGATAGTCATATAAAAAAAAAATCTGTTATTCAGTCTTGCATCATGCATTTAAAAAAATTGTCACATATAAGTATCTGAATGTGTGCACTGATTAGCATTTCTTAGGCATGATTAATCTATAGAAAATACCTTTGCATGAATTGTTGGTAATGATCGGGGAGACGATGAGAAGACATAATTTATATAAACATTTGTAGTGCCTTTTGTGACTTTACTTGAATTCAGTATAGTCAAAATACACCTGCAGTTTATGAAGATTGAAGATAAATACCTAATGCATAAAATACAGTCTACCTGTCCAAATAGAGATCTGCAGTAATGCCTATGTGCTTCTTATGTCCACTATCTTCTTCCCCCCCTCCCCCCAAAGAAAATCTTGTCATTTAAATTGTCCACCAAAAAGTTGATTGCTCAGATTGCAAGCACTATTCTGTGTTACTGTATCCTTCATGAAGCATTGCTATTTTAAGTTGATAGTGTCACTGTTCGGAACAATCATTGTATTTGATAACCCACCCAAAATGCTTTGCTTTCTGTATCTTAATGGAAAATAAACATTTTTATTTTATTACTGTACTTATATTTAGATAAAGGTAGGAAAGTTTTCATTGCATTTATGGATTTAGAAAAGGCATATGATAAGGTGGATAAGGAAACAATGTGGCAGATGTTGCAAGTGTATGGAATAGGTAGTGAGTTACTAAATGCTATAAAGAGTTTTTGAGGATAGTGAGGCTCAGGTTAGGGTGTGTAGGAGAGAGGAAGATTACTTTCCAGTAAAGGTAGACCTTAGACAGAATGTGTAATGTCACCATGGTTGTTTAACATTTGTAGATGAGGTTGTAAAAGAAGTAAATGCTAGGGTGTTGGGGCGAGGGGTGGTTTTAAACTATGAGGAATCAAATATAAAATGAGAGTTGACACTGTCACTTTTTGTTGATGATGCTGTGCTTTTGGGAGATTCTAAAGAAAAATTGCAAAGGTTAGTGGATGAGTTTGGGAGGGTGTGTAAAGCAAAGTAATTGAAAGTGAACATAGATAAGAGTAAGGTGATGAGAGTATCAAACAAGTTAGATAAAGAAAAACTGGATATTACATTGGAGGGAGGGAGTATGGAAGAAGTGAATGTGTTTACTTATTTGGGAGTAGACTTTTCAGCAGATGGGTTTATGAAGGATGAGGTTAACCATAAAACTAATGAAAGTAAAAGGGTGGGAAGTGCATTGAGGTACCTGTGGAGACAAATAACGTTAACCATGGAGGCAAAGAAGGGAATGTATGAGAGTATAGTGGTATCAACACTTATATAATAGTGAAGCTTGGGTTGTAAATGCTGCAGCAAGGAGGAGGCTGGAGGCAGTGATGTCATATCTAAGGGAAATGTGTGGTGTAAATATGCAGAGAATTCTTAGTGTGGAAATTAGGAGGAGGTGTGAAGTTACTAAAAGTATTATTTAGAGGGCTGAGGAAGGTTTGTTGAGATGTTTTGGTCATTTTGAGAGGATGGAGCAAAATAGAATGACTAACAGTGTATAAATCTGTAGTGGTGGGGAGGAGTAGTAGGGGGTCTTCCTAGAAAAGTATGGAGGGAGTGGGTAAAAGGGATTTTGTGTGCATGGGGCTTGGACATACAGCAGTCATGTATGAATGTGTTAGATAGGAGTGAATGGAGACGAATGGCTTTTGGGACTTGAGCTGTTGGAGTGTGATCAGGGTAATATTTTGTGAAGGGGTTCAGGGAAACTGGTTAGCAAGACTTGAGTCCTGGAGGTGGAAAGTACAATTCCTGCACTTCAAAGGAGGGGTTTGGGATAATGGCTGTTTCGATGGTGAAAGTGTTGAATGATGGTCACCCTGCCTTGGTGGGAGATGGCCAACATGTTGAAAAGGAAAAAACTTGCTAATTCAATTAGACTTAACCCTTATGTGTTCTTATAATGTAAATTTGCTCTAGGTTTTTTAACCATCAAAAATTCACACACTACTAGCTGTGGTATACCTTTAATACACAAATCAGGTTCAGCAGACACGATTCTTCACTGTTATACTATGACAACTCCAAACATCCAAGCACGTACTTTATATTCCAAAATAATTAATAAAAGAAACTCTGGGTAATGTTATGTATCTTCAGATTGTCTTGCACTAAATTAAAAAAAAAAAAATGTATTTTTAAAAAATTTTGTAATTACAATTCTAAAAAGAAAGCTAATAATTATTTGCCTGTTCTATTAGCCTTGACACATCACAGTAGTACTGCATAACATAGTTCTGTGGGAAGTTAACATGCACTTATATTTTACATTAATTTTAGACCCAACAAAATTCTTGCAACAAACTGTCCGTATCCCACCAAGGCAGGGTGGCCCAAAAAGGAAAACAAAAGTTTCTCTTTTTAAATTTAGAAATGTATACAGGAGAAGGGGTTACTGGCCCCTTGCTCCCGGCATTTTAGTCACTTTTTATGACTCGTGGCTTATGGAGGAATTATATTATTAAAAATTTGCCGGTATTTCTCCCTGCCCGGGCATTTTCCAAGTGGTGGCCCTGTCTAGGGAGTGTCTGAGACCTAAGTCTCCTATGGGAGGAGGCACAAGTACCCCCTCATCTTTGGGACCAACTGTCCCCAGGCCTAGCTTGTAGGGAGAGGCTAGGCCTCTCTGGTCTGCCATCCCCGCCCCAAGGGGCCTAATGTGAATGACAGTCTTGTGAGCTGCAAGCTCGGGCTCAGGCACCTACCCTACCCTAGAAGGGCTAGGCATGGTGTCGATCCTTACGGAGGAAGAATTCTGTTCCACTTCCCCATGGAGGCCCAACAAAATTAATGCTACCATATTAAATTATGCAATGCAATACTCAGTAAAATTTACAGTCGTGTGCCCATACTTTTGCTTAATTACTGATCTAAGGGCTTCAGTGTCTACATATAATTTTTTTATAGGAAAAAGTTTAATTTTAAACTTTGAAATCATTCATGGAAAAAGGTTGTTTAAAGTGAGGTGTCTACTATGTGTGTATAAGAAACTTGTGTACTAGTATAGTATCAGTTTATCATTCTTATCCTCTTTAGGAACCTAACACATTTCTTTAAAAGTTTCTCCTTTTTAAGAATGAATGAAGAGAAAGGTGATTTCCAGTCATTTTATATGAAACAAAACTTGTATCTTGGCCATAAATTAAGGGCATATTTTGGGGCAGTTTTTGTTAGGATTTAAGGCCAGTTTAGGATGAGAATATTCTTTATCATACAGCCTGTATTGATGAGTAAACATTAATCTTATTCAGTTTCTTGTATTGAGTTTTGAAATTGTGTATTAACTGCAGTTGAGATCTTAAGAACAAATTTCAAATGTTTTAAAGGTGTAGTTGTAGTTTTTGCTTTTATTTTAAGAGCACTCCTAACCTTTTAGTTATTAAAGGCTTTTCTAATCATGATAATACAGGAGGGAGAGGGTAGTAAAATTACTCGGTGTGTACACTTTTTTTTTTTTTTTTTTTTTTTAAGGAAAACTAAAACAGTATGGTAAGTGTGTTCTGTTAGGTAATTGCTTCACAATTATCAGAGAATAGAAAAATAATTAAAATAACGATTTACTTGTATGATAAAATTCACTTACGGGAATAGGCAAAATTAAGTTCACTTCCATGAAATAAGCATTGCCACTTAAAATGAAATTTCCTAAACTATTAATTTCATAACTATAATAAATAAATACTGAGATTAATTTATTTTGAAAAGTAGGAATATATTTTTCAATAGTTATCACAGATATTAAACTGATTGCTTTACAAGTGTTCTACAAATAATTTGATTTGAAAATATGTTTTGACTTTAAACTTGGCTTCAATTTTTAATTGCTTCCATTATCTCCTCCAGGCATCCCAAGTAGTTGTTGTTCCTTGAATGCAATTTTCTGTAGTTGTGATACACTAAGATGCATACAACTTATTCATGCTAGATAATTCCCAAAGGTTCCTTTCAAGTGGGTTTTTGACATTTGTTTCTTTTCTACGTGCCTACTAACCTTGTATATTTTCCCTCGCTGCTTTCTTTGCAGGTGGTACTTACGGTAATGTGCATGGCAACCTGAGCATGGTAGAGCATGGTAGTCTACATATTCAGGTGGATGGTTATATATTCATTGTAGTTTTATTCACACATGCAGATAAGTACATGTACAAGTAATTGCCCGTGTAGTGGATTTTGTAAACTAATTTATATTGTCTGTGCAGCTGTTACCTCAGTCAAGCTTTTATATATGTAATTGCATTTGACTGGATATTATTTTAACATCTTTTTAAGTTTATAAGCATAATTACAACCTTGTAATTCTTTAGATAGTAGCTTGGTAGACAGCAACTCTCCACAAAGGTACTGTCATCCTACCATATGAGAAAATGGAAGCCTGTTACAATTTTTATAGAATGACTGATTTGTCTTTTGTCTTGTGAACATTTATTTATATATCAGATTTATAATGCTAATTCTTACTTGTATTCATCATAAACATTTCTTTACCTTCCTGTTTTTTTCTTCAAAGTTCTTAAATATGCAGATTTTCCTTGCTAATCTCTTAGGATATATGAGTTAGAATCTTTTAGGTGTAGCCAAATACTCTGCTAGTGAGATAAGTCACTGTTATAAAGGGCATACTAGTAAACTTTGGAGTGCAATAGGTAAATAAGGATGGAATTTTAATTGAATTGTATTTAGAAAGAGGTTTGATTAAAGGCAAAAATGTTTTTTAAAGAGGATAAATATGTGTGAGATATGATAAGGTGGTGTACAGCAAGAATAGTTTGCTTGAGTATGCGTTTAACAGATGGTTGAAGGATGTACTTGTTGATGTATGTACTTGGAGAGCAGTATCCGATATATTGAATTATTTAATTGTAGCTAAAGCAAGGGGAAGATGGCATGCAAGGAGAATGATATCAGCAGGTTAAAGAAAAAATGAATGAGTAAAAGAAGGGGATGGTTACTGAGATGTTTTTGTTACTTTTATAAGAAAAGTGGGCTAAAGCGAGAGAGTGAGGTTAAGCAGGGATGGTGTGGACTTACTCCTTTCACTGTCCAGACTCCCAAAATTAATATGGCTTCCAGTGTCCACTTCAAAAAAAATAAATCTGAATATGTGTACTCTGTGGTTGCAGGGGTTGAGTCATAGCTTCTGGCCCTGTGTGTGTGCTTTTGATCAGAGTGAGGAAAAGCAAATGGTTTTTGGTATATAAAGTGCTGTTTAGGCATAAGCTGGCATCTATGAAGGAATTTGTAAAACTGTCCAAGCTTGAGTTTCGAAGATAGAAAGTAAAGGTCCTGCTCATTGGAGAATAGGTGGAGATGATGCAGTTCAGTGGATCATTTGAATATATGAACTGCAATTGTTTTCATACATCTGGAAGGACAACTAGAGAATGAGTAATTTTTAATATATTTATTTTCTTTGGGTCATATTGCCTTGGTGGGGAAACAGCTAATGTATTAAATTACAAAAGAATTATGAACACATCCCACATACAGGTCTTAATTTAAATTATTTATTTTGTTACATCCTGAATTATAACAGTTTTACTTTATTTTTTAATGACTATTTGAAGTGAAATATATTTGGATGTAAAGTTTACATCCAAATATATTTGGACTTCCAGCAGGCATGCGTGAGCGTGTTTGATAGGAGTGAATGGAGACAAATGGTTTTTAATACTTGACGTGCTGTTGGAGTGTGAGCAAAGTAACATTTATGAAGGGGTTCAGGGAAACCGGCAGGCCGGACTTGAATCCTGGAGATGGGAAGTACAGTGCCTGCGCTCTGAAGGAGGGGTATTAATGTTGCAGTTTAAAAACTGTAGTGTAAAGCACCCTTCTGGCAAGACAGTGATGGAGTGAATGATGGTGAAAGTTTTTCTTTTTCGGGCCACCCTGCCTTGGTGGGAATCGGCCAGTGTGATAATAAAAAAATAATAATAATAAAAAAGTTTACTTGTTTAATATTGTTCATATTAAGTAGAAAACCTTGCATTATTTTAAGGAAAAACATTTTTCTCTGCATGAAAAACTTATGAACTTGCTTGCATTCTAATTCCAGGCGAGAGCAACATATATACATTAGGTAACATTGGCGCACACAGAGTTGTGTGTACAAAACTTCCAACTGTTGGTCACGATCGTTCAGCGTCCATTGCTGCAGGAAACACTACTACTAGACTACTTGGTAGGTCACTTACGAGAAATGGTGAGCGTTTTCTTGCTTTGAGTCACTGCCTTGGTGGGAAGGGAGCACAAAACTCGTAAGTACCATGCAGTGCCTGAGAAATGGGAGGCATTGAGATTCGATCGAAGGAAGGGAGGGTAGCTCCAATTCTTTGGATCAAGATTTCTTGACTTAGGCAGTGGAAGCATTCTATGGAAGGTGTAAAATTGTTCAGTGAGGGACTGCTATGTGCCTAATGTATTGTATTATTTCAAAAGAAATAATATACAGATAGGTATATACATGCCTTTCCTGTGATTTTCCAACTTGTTTGGTTGTTTGTCCATAATGTTTCTGTACTGTCTTGTATGTGTTCAAAGTCTCTTAATATTTGAAGATAGATGAAATGCCAAAGACTGAGAGGTTACCCATTAAGGCAAGGAATTGCTAAGAAGAATGCATTAAGGGCTAGAGCTAGTTAATAGTCTTGGTTTCCTGTTTAGCATAACCATTAGAAATCAAGCAGTGTATACATACTGAAAAGATTACATTAAGTTGATCTTGAGGCAGTAAATTTTAAATACTAGGTTAAAGTAAAGTAATAAAAAAAAGTTATTTGTGATGTTTCAGGAACCTTCCAGAAAGTGGACCATGTGTTCTTAGTTGGAACAGCAGGAGGAGTTCCCCATTATACAGATTACGACAAACATGTTCGACTTGGAGATGTAGTGGTGTCTGCACCACCTAGTGGACAGAAGTAAGATTTTATATAGAAGTTCTACTTGTTTAGTACAACTGTATTGTGAAACACACAGTGCCCTTCCTGAAGATGATTCCTACATGGTTTTATTAGCAGGTAATGCAAAGAATCATACAAATATAAAGAACAGGGATTGCAAAAAGCTGTAGCAGTTGAGAAGAGTCAGCTGTAAGGTTAGAAATAAAAACAAAAAAAAAAAAAAACACTTTGGTGTGGATATAAGTGTAATGCCAAAAGCCTACATAAAACAGGATAATACTTTTGAGAAAAGGCAAAACATAAGAATTGTCTTTAGGAACCTAACACATTTCATTAAAAGTTTTTCTTTTTAAGAATGAATGAAGAGAAAGGTGATTTCCAGTCATTTTATATTAAACAAAACTTGTATCTTGGGCATAAATTAAGGGCATATTTTGGGGCAGTTTTTGTTAGGATTTAAGGCCAGTTTAGGCTGAGAATATTCTTAATCATACAGCCTGTATTGATGAGTAAACATTAATCTTATTCAGTTTCTTGTATTGAGTTTTGAAATTGTATATTAACTGCAATTGAGATCTTGAAAACAAATTTCAAATGTTTTAAAGGTGTAGTTGTAGTTTTTGCTTTTATTTTAAGAGCACTTCTAACCTTTTAGTTATTAAAGGCTTTTCTAATCATAATACAGGAGGGAGAGGGTAGTAAAATTACTCGGTGTGTGTACTTTTTTTTTTTTTTTTTTTTTTTTTTTTTTTTTTTTAAGGAAAACTAAAACAGTATGGTAAGTGTGTTCTGTTAGGTAATTGCTTCACAATTATCAGAGAATAGAAAAATAATTAAAATAACGATTTACTTGTATGATAAAATTCACTTACGGGAATAGGCAAAATTAAGTTCACTTCCATGAAATAAGCATTGCCACTTAAAATGAAATTTCCTAAACTATTAATTTCATAACTATAATAAATAAATACTGAGATTAATTTATTTTGAAAAGTAGGAATGTATTTTTCAATAGTTATCAGAGATATAAAACTGATTGCTTGACAAATGTTCTACAAATAATTTGATTTGAAAATATGTTTTGACTTTAAACTTGGCTTCAATTTTTAATTGCTTCCATATCTCCTCCAGGCATCCCAAGTAGTTGTTGTTCCTTGAATGCAATTTTCTGTAGTTGTGATACACTAAGATGCATACAACTTATTCATGCTAGATAATTCCCAAAGGTTCCTTTCAAGTGGGTTTTTGACATTTCTTTTCTATGTGCCTACTAACCTAGCTAAAGCTAGGTAAATAGTCTTGGTTTCCTGTTGAGAAGAGTCAGCTGTAAGGTTACAAATGAAAAAAAAAAAAGCACTTTGGTGTGGATATAACAGTCTAGTGCCAAAAGCCTACATAAAACAGGAATAATACTTTTGAGAAATGCAACATTGGCACAACATAAGAATTGTCTTTAGGAGCTTCATCATGGATTTCTTGAGGATAATTTACACAGGTTGCATGAGGTCAGTATTGGAGTATGCAGTGCCACTATTCCAGCATGGTATCAGTACCTTAAAGGTTTTTCACCAGATGACTAAGATTATCATTGAGGACCCAGGATATGAGGACAGATAACACTGTTATGAAATTCGAAAAACAACTTTCCACTGGAGGGACCATGGGGTATATACTTTTGTTGAAATGTGTACCATTTATATTATTATTGACACTGGCGTTCACAGCAGGGCCCAAAAAAATTTCCTCATTCCTCATCACTGTCTCCAGATGTGCTTTATACTAGTTTTTAAACTGCACATTAACCCCTCCTCAGAGTGCAGGACGTCAGTGGACCCCGTAAAGATATTTTTTCATCCAGATATGTTCCAGTGCCAGTACTGACCGAATTGTTCCCTAAGGAATATTGTGAAGTAGATTATCATTTCAGACCCAACATACACGTACAACCACTTACAAATACACTTACATAATTGGTCGCATTCGGAAGTGATCGTTATGCGGGGGTCCACTGTACTTCCCTTCTCCAGGACTCAAGTCCGGCTTGCCGGTTTCCCTGAATCCCTTCGTAAATGTTACTTTGCTCACACTCCAACAGCACGTCAAGTATTAAAAACCATTCGTCTCCATTCACTCCTATCAAACACGCTCACGTATGCCCGCTGGAAGTCCAAGCCCCTCGCACACAAAACCTCCTTTACCCCCTCCCTCCAACCTTTCCTAGGCTGACCCCTACCCCGCCTTCCTTCCGCCACAGACTGATACACTCTTGAAGTCATTCTGTTTTGCTCCATTCTCTCTACATGTCCGAACCACCTCAACAACCCTTCCTCAGCCCTCTGGACAACAGTTTTGGCAATCCTGCACTTCCTCCTAACTTCCAAACTATGAATTCTCTGCATTATATTCACACCACACATTGCCCTCAGACATGACATCTCTACTGCCTCCAGCCTTCTCCTCACTGCAACATTCATCACTCATGCTTCACACCCATATAAGAGCGTTGGTAAAACTATACTCTCATACATTCCCCTCTTTGCCTCCAAGGACAAAGTTCTTTGTCTTCACAGACTCCTAAGTGCACCGCTCACCCTTTTCCCCTCATCCGTTCTATGATTCACCTCATCTTTCATAGATCCATCCGCTGACACGTCCACTCCCAAATATCTGAATACATTCACCTCCTCCATACTCTCTCCCTCCAATCTGATATCCAATCTTTCATCACCTAATCTTTTTGTTATCCTCGTAACCTTACTCTTTCCTGTATTCACTTTTAATTTTCTCCTTTTACATACCCTACCAAATTCATCCACCAACCTCTGCAACTTCTCTTCAGAATCTCCCAAGAGCACAGTGTCATCAGCAAAGAGCAACTGTGACAACTCCCACTTTGTCTTTCTTTATCTTTTAACTCCATGCCTTTTGCCAAGACCCTCGCATTTACTTCTCTTACAGCCTCATCTATAAACATATTAAACAACCACGGTGACATCACACATCCTTGTCTAAGGCCTACTTTTACTGGGAAATAATCTCCCTCTTTCCTACATACTCTAACTTGAGCCTCACTATCCTCGTAAAAACTCTTCACTGCTTTCAGTAACCTACCTCCTATACCATACACCTGCAGCATCGGCCACATTGCCTCCCTATCCACCCTGTCATACGCCTTTTCCAAATCCAAAAACCTCTTTAGCCTTATCTAAATACTGTTCACTTTTATCCCCATTGCCTTTATACAGGGGAACTATGCATGCTCTCTGCCAATCCCTAGGTACCTTACCCTCTTCCATACATTTATTAAATAATAGGACCAACCACTCCAAAACTATATCCCCACCTGCTTTTAACATTTCTATCTTTATCCCATCAATCCCAGCTGCCTTACCCCCTTTCATTTTACCTACTGCCTCACGAACTTCCCCCACACTCACAACTGGCTCCTCCTCACTCCTACAAGATGTTATTCCTCCTTGCCTTATACATGAAATCACAGCTTCCCTATCTTCATCAACATTTAACAATTCCTCAAAATATTCCCTCCATCTTTCCAATACCCATAACTCTCCATTTAATAACTCTCCTCTCCTATTTTTAACTGACAAATCCATTTGTTCTCTAGGCTTTCTTAACTTGTTAATCTCACTCCAAAATTTTTTCTTATTTTCAACAAAATTTGTTGATAACATCTCACCCACTCTCACATTTGCTCTCTTTTTACATTGCTTCACCACTCTCTTAACCTCTCTTTTTCTTCATATACTCTTCCCTCCTTGCATCACTTCTACTTTGTAAAAACTTCTCATATGCTAACTTTTTCTCCCTTACTGCTCTCTTCACATAATTCCACCAATCGCTCCTCTTCCCTCCCGCACCCACTTTCCTGTAACCACAACTTCTGCTGAACACTCTAACACTACATTTTTAAACCTACCCCATACCTCTTCGACCCCATTGCCTATGCTCTCATTAGCCCATCTATCCTCCAATAGCTGTTTATATCTTACCCTAACTGCCTCCTCTTTTAGTTTATAAACTTTCACCTTTCTCTTCCCTGATGCTTTTATTCTTGTATCCCATCTACCTTTTACTCTCAGTGTAGCCCTCCCTATTTAAGTCGTTTCTCATGCCCTAGTATTTTGTAGGATTTTTTTTATTAAGTCCTAATTTGTCACTGCTCAAATGAGAGTCAGCTGATTATTTTGCACAAGCATTGGTTGTTCTCACACAAGTTGCACCTATTAAATTAGTTGGAATCTGGAATTAATGCAGCTGAGAGAGGCAGTGAACATTTGGCTTCCCCTACCGCTTCCAAAAGAAAAAAGAAAATTATAGGATCAGAGGGGCCCCTTTTGGAATTGTACCAATCAGTACAGTGCTTGAAATGGAGGAGGAATGCAGGAAAAACAAAAATGAATATAAACCAGCTACAGCAACTTAAGAGTGCGAGGGGCAATTTTTCTGCTTCTAGAGGAGTCGTGCTGAAACCATTGCAGAATAAAGGATCTGTTAAGTAAAAGGACACGAATGCAACTAATGTCACATTAGTTGCATTTGTGTCCTTTTACTTAACATCATGTCGGTAATTCTACCAATACTAATACAATAAAGGATCTCTATACTTGGCTACGAACAGTCAACAGTAGTAAGCAGCAAATCAAGATGAGACATCCCAAGAGGTTAGGAGACCTGCTATAGCATGCTCACAGTCATCAGGACAGGCAACAAAAGACTGAAGCTACAAACATGTATAGATGACTCATCAGTTGACATCCCAGAGATTTTTGCCAGACTGTCAATAGACCCAGGTGCCTCAAATCTTTAGAGGAAAAGAAGTACCTGGTTTAAGGATCTAAGGCTGATCAGGCATATATGCTAAGGGACATTCTGATCATACCAGGTTAGGATGTCTCAGGGAGGGCAAAGGTTTATGGAGAAATGTTTAATACTCTGTTATAGACAAAATTATAAACTTAAATGAACTTAATATATAATACAGGTAGGGAAGTGGAAATACCCTAGATATAGTTATGAATAAGGGTAATGTATGTGTGTCCTATGTCCAGTGGGTTGGCAGTTAACCCTTTTCTCCAACATATTTCCATTATTCAAGGTAGTGTCAAATTTCAAATTTTATTGCTTAGTTTATTTAAGATATAATCCTATTAGCAACTTTAACAAAGTAAGTCATTGCATTTTGGAAGAGAAGGATGGAAGCCTGAGGTAATGCAAGTAAGCAGTACTAAACTAATCATACTACCAGACATACCAATAAACTATACTTTCTCATAAAAAGTTTTTTTTTTTATCAATTTGAATACAAAGATATCATAGCTCAGTTTACGTAAGAGTAAATAAAGGTCAACGTTTGAAGCCAGGTTCATACCTGAATGACAGGCCTGGTGGAATGTATTAATTAGTAATTTAAAAATAATAAGACTTCGTCAAAGATGACATTATCTACATTAGGAATGTAACACTATTCAGCCAGCTTATTTACTACCTGGACTGATACTTGTTTGGAAATTTTTAAAGATATGTATGCTTGTGTGCTGTGAATTCCAACAGCGAGGTTACCTATCTGGGAAAATGAAATTCCTGCATACCATATCAGTCTTATATTCAAAGAATGTGATGATTGTTCCACTAATATATTTTATTAATATTTATATACAACACTTACTTAATTTTTGTGTTACAGGTTTATCTACATGTATTGTGATACTGCAAAAACATTAGAGAGTGGTTCATATGAGTTCGAAACAAAGTCCTGGGGACCTCCAGACCTAAGTCTACAGAATATTGCCTATCAGTTAAAAGAGCAGGTGAGACTTTTTCTCTCTCTCTCTCTCTCTCTCGACAAGTCGGCTGTCTCCCACCGAGGCAGGGTGGCCCCCCAAAAAAAGAAAATACTTTCATGATCATTCAACACTTTTGCCTCATACATAATCACTGTTTTTGCAGAGGCACCCAGATATAGCAGTTTAGAAGCATATGTAAAGATATATATCATATCCCTCCAAACTGCCAATATCCCAAACCCCTCCTTTAAAGTGCAAGCATTGTACTTCCCATTTCCAGTACTCAAGTCCGGCTATATAAAAATAACCAGTTTCCCTGAATTCCTTCACTAAATATTACCCTGCTTTCACTCAAACAGCTCGTCAAGTCCCAAATACCATTCGACTCCATTCACCCCTATCTAACACACTCGCACATGCTTGCTGGAAGTCCAAGCCCCCTCACCCACAAAACCTTCTTTACCCCCTCCCTCCAACCTTTTCGAGGGAGACCCCCTACTATGCCTTCCTTTCCCTACAGATTTATATGCTCTCCATGTCATTCTACTTTGATCCATTCTCTAAATGACCAAACCACCTCAACAACCCCTCTTCACCCCTCTGACTATTACTTTTATTAACTCCAACCTTCTCATTTCTGCACTCAGAATTTTCTGCATAATATTTACACCACACATTGCTCTTAGACACGACATCACCGCCTCCAACCACCTCCTCGCAGCAGAATTTACAACCCAAGTTTTACACCCATATAAGAGTGTTGGTACCACTATACTTTCATACATTCCCTTCTTTGCCTCCATTGATAATGTTTTTTGTCTCCACATGTACTTCAACGCACCACTCACTTTTCCTTCATCAATTCTATGGTTAACTTCTTTCTTTCAATAAACCGGCCGTATCCCACCAAGGCAGGGTGGCCCAAAAAGAAAAACAAAAGTTTCTCTCTTTAAATTTAGTAATTTATACAGGAGAAGGGGTTACTAGCTCCCAGCATTTTAGTCGCCTCTTACAACACGCATGGCTTACGGAGGGAGAATTCTGTTCCACTTCCCCATCCTTCATAAATCCATCAGCTGACACGTCAACTCCCAAATTTCTGAAAACATTCACTTCTTCCATACTACTACTCTCGAATTTGTTATCCAATTTTTCTTTATCTAAATCATTTGATAACCTCATCACCTTACTGTTTTCTATGTTCACTTTCAACTTTCTACCTTTACACAGCCTCCCAAACTCGTCCACTAGCCTTTGCAACTTTTCTTTAGAATCTCCCATAAGCACAGTATCATCAGCAAAAAGTAACTGTGTCAATTCCCATTTTGTATTTGATTCCCCATAATTTAATCCCACCCCTCTTCCCAACACCCTAGCATTTACTTCTTTTACAACCCCATCTATAAATACACCTACCATCCGACTTACGACCTGCTCGACTTACGACCACTCGACTTACGACCTGCTCGACTTACGACCACTCGACTTACGACCGTGTTTTTTATGTCAAATTTCTGGGAAATAAACAACTATTTGTGTTGTACACAGTGTTTATCCTAAACCTTACAGTATAAAATACAGTACTAACAGCATAAAAAGTAAAGTAAAATATGAAATACCAAAATAAAACAATAAAATAAAGTCATTACAAAAATGTGATGTTGATATTCAGTAGTAAAGTTCGACTTGCGTCCATTTTGACTTACGACCGGTTTCTCGGAACCGAACTCGGTCGTAAGTCAGATGGTAGGTGTATATTAAACAACCATGGTGACATTACACATCCCTGTCTAAGACCTACTTTTACTGGGAAGTAGTCTCCCTCTCTTCTACAGACCCTAACCTGAGCCTCACTATCCTCATAAAAACCCTTTACAGCATTTAGTAACTTCCTATTCCATATACACTACTTGTAACATCTGCCACATTGCTCCCCTATCCACTCTATCATATGCCTTTTCTAAATCCACAAGTGCAATGAAAACTTCCCTACCTCTATCTAAATACTGTTCACGTATATGCTTCAATATAAACACGATCTAAACATCCCCTACCCACTCTAAAACCTCCTTGCTCATCCGCAATCCTACATTCTATCTTCTAATTCTTTCAGTAATAACCCTACCATACACTTTTCCTGGTATACTTGGTAAACTTATTCCCCCTATAATTTTTACTATCTCTCTTGTCCCCCTTCCCTTTATATAAAGGAACTATACAAGCTCTCTGTCAATCCCTAGGTACCTCTCCCTCTTTCATACATTTATTAAACAAAAATACCAACCACTGCAACACCATATCTCCCACTGCTTTTAACATTTCTGTCATGATGCTGTCACTTCTAGCTGCTTTACTCCCTTTCATTCTACATAATGCTTCATGCACCACCCCCCACACTCACATCCTGACCTTCTTCACTCCTAAAAGATGTTAAACCTCCCTGACCAGTGCATGAAATTATCGCCTCCCTTACTTCATCGACATATAAAAGTTCCTCAAAATATTCCCACCATCTACCCAATACCTCCAGCTCCCCATCTACTAACTCCACTATTCTGTTTTTAACCAACAAATCCATTCGTTCCCTACGCTTTCTTAACTTGTTTATCTCGCTCCAAAATTTTTTCTTATTCTCATCAAAATTTCTTGACAGTGCCTCAACCACTCTATCATCTGCTCTCCTTTTGCACTGTCTCACCACTCTCTTCACCTTTCTTTTACTCTCCATATACACTGCTCTTCTTATAACACTCCTGCTTTGTAAAAACCTCTCATAAGTTACCTTTTTCTCTTTTATCACACCCTTTACTTCATCATTCCACCAACCACTCCTCTTTCCTCCTGCACCCACCCTTGCATGATTTCTGTAAAGAAGTTCCATAATAGTATAGTATGTTTATATTTACGAAAAGGTTGTTAGCATGATTTCTGTAAAGAAGTTCCGTAGTAGTATAGTATTCATGAGGGAGAGCTAAACCTGTAAAGGTCATGCAGGGACTGGGGAATAAAAGGTAATCAGGTTCTGTCCTAGGAATGGAAGAGTAACTCTAATTCCTTGGATCAAGAGCCCTTCAACATCAAGGCACCCCATCCCTCCTTTCCCTGCACAGACTGGTAGTAGTGAAATGTAGTTACATTCAAATACTAAAAATTCAGTGGTCAGAATCAGATATGCTGTTATTCTTGCTTTATCATTAACAAGTGGCATTGCTCTAACTTGAAGGTAGGTCTTTCTGAAAGGACAACAATGTGAGGGTGTCCAAGCACTTAGAAATTGGCTGGAAATAAATTCAACACTAAGTATTTTGTAGATGAATGGTTCAGAGAACCGACACGTTGATAAATTAGACAGATGTGCATCTCTTGGGTATCTTTATTGAGGAAACGTTTCACCACACAGTGGCTTCATCAGTCCATACAAAGGAGAAACGTGAAGAACAGGAGGAGAATTAGGTAATCAGTCCCTCAACCTTGAGATAATATGGTCAGTCCATCAAAGATTGATGGACTGACCACATCGTCTCAAGGTTGAGGGACTGATTACCTCATTCTTCTCCTGTTCTTCACGTTTCTCCTTTGTATGGACTGATGAAGCCACTGTGTGGTGAAACGTTTCCTCAATAAAGATACCCAAGTGTTGCACATGTGTCTAATTTATCAACTAAGTATGTTCTCTTGGATAAAGGGTACAATCAGTCACCAAAGGGTCTTTGAAACAAAAGTGCCTCGAGGGCTTGCAAGGATCTTAAGCTTCCCTTAACACCCCTTTTCCCTTGCTTTCCTATATTGGATATGAAATTTTTTTTTGACATTTTGTGGAGCTGGTTCACCCTTCTTGTCCCTTTTCATCAATTTTTCTGTAATTTGCTCTCAAAATAACATTAGTAATTTCTGAGTCAGTGAGCAGATTATGCACGGGAACATACTCCTTGCAACATACTATTTTTATTTTTAGGAACCTTAGAAATTGCCAAATTTGTATGGAATCCTTCAAAATGACAAATATTGCTGGAAGAAGTGTTCAGGTTTTCAAAAAAAAAAAAAAAAAACTGGCCCATTTTCTAAACTAAGTTTCAGATTAGCCAGGTTGTGATGACTAGGCTTGCAGGTTTCTTGCAACACCAGCCCAGTTGATCAGCCATCAAGGAAGTTTGACCTCAAGTTCGAGTGTCAGCTTAAAAGAACCCTTGAAACTAGTCCCATATTTTACAGGTTAGAAGTACAATGTTTCTTTTTAATTAAATAACTGTGAATTGTTTTCAGGGAGAAGAAAAGGATGGTCCATCACCCTGGCTTCAATACATGACTGAGGGTAATATTAAATTATCTGCTCAGGAAATGGATTTCTCCAGGCCAAATGAAGAGACAGACAAATTGTACATGAGTATTGGTGGATCAGATGTTATTGAAGTTTCTCATCCTCTTCCTCCTGAGGGCTCAGAGAATATAAGGTAAATATGTAGGTAGTAGGTAGGTAGACAGCAACCACCCAGGGAAGTACTACCATACTGCCAGATGACTGTGAAACAGAAACCTGTAACTGTTTTACATGATGGTAGGATTGCTGGTGTCTTTTTCTCTCATAAACACACTGGATAACGGGGATATCTTGCTACTTCTACTTACACTTAGGTCACACTACACAGGCATGCACATGCATATACACCTACCATCCAACTTACGACCTGCTCGACTTACGACCACTCGACTTACGACCGTGTTTTTTATGCCAAATTTCTGGGAAATAAACTATTTGTGTTGTACACAGTGTTTATCCTAAACCTTACAGTATAAAATACAGTACTAACAACATAAAAAGTAAAGTAAAACATGAAATACCAAAATAAAACAATAAAATAGTCATTACAAAAATGTTTTGTTGATATTCAGTAGTAAAGTTCGACTTACGACCAGTTTCTCGGAACCGAACTCGGTCGTAAGTCGGATGGTAGGTGTATATACATACATCTAGGTTTTTCTTCTTTTTTCTAAATAGCTCTTGTTCTTTTTTATTTCTTCTATTGTCCATGGGGAAGTGGAAAAAAATCTTTCCTCTGTAAGCCATGCATGTCGTATAAGGCGAATAAAATGCCGGGAGCAATGGCCTAGTAACCCCTTCTTCTGTAAACATTTACTAAAAAAGAGAAGAAAAACTTTATAAAACTGGGATGCTTGAATGTGCATGATGTCATGTGGATGACAAGAAAGAGATGATTGCTGATGTTATAAATGAAAAGAAGTTGGATGTCCTGGTCCTAAGCAAAACAAAGCTGAAGGGGGTAGGGGAGTTTTGGTGGGGAGAAATAAATGGGATTAAGTCGGGAGTATCTGAGAGAGTTAGAGCTAAGGAAGGGGTAGCAATAATGTTGAAGGATCAGTTATGGAAGGAGAAGAGAGAATACAGATGTGTAAATTTAAGGATTATGGGGATTAAAATAAAAGTTGGATGTGAAAAGTGGGTCATAAACAACTATTGGAGGATAGATGGGCTAGTGAGAGTATAGGCAATGGGGTCGAAGATGTATGGGATAGGTTTAAAAATGTAGTGTTAGTGTTCAGCAGAAGTTTGTGGTTACAGGAAAGTGGGTGCAGGAGGAAAGAGGAGTGATTGGTGGAATGATGATGTAAAGATAGTAGTCAAGGAAAAAAAGTTAACATATGAGAGGTTTTTACAAAGTAGAAGTGATGCAAGGAGGGAAGAGTATAGGGAGAAAAAAAGAGGTTAAGAGAGTGGTGAAGCAATGTAAAAAGAGAGCATATGAAAGAGTGGGTGAGATGTTATCAACAAATTTTGTTGAAAGTAAGAAAAAGTTTTGGAGTGAGATTAACAAGTTGAGGAAGCCTAGGGAACAAATGGATTTGTCAGTTAAAGACAGGAGAGGAGAGTTATTAAATGGAGAGTTAGAGGTATCGGGAAGATAGAGGGAATATTTTGAGGAATTGTTAAATGTTGATGAAGATAGGGAAGCTGTGATTTCGTGTATAGGGCAAGGAGGAATAACATCCTGTAGGTGTGAGGAAGAGCCAGTTGTGAGTGGGGAAAATTCATGAGGCAGTGGGTAGAATGAAAGGGGGTAAGGCAGCTGGGATTGATGGGATAAAGATAGAAATGTTAAAAGTAGGTGGGGATGTAGTTTTGGAGTGGTTGGTGCAATTATTTAATAAATGTATGGAAGAGGGTAAGGTACCTAGGGATTTGCAGTACTTCCCAGTAAAAGTAGGTCTTAGACAGGGATGTGTAATGTCACCATGGTTGTTTAATATATTTATAGATGGGGTTGTAAAAGAAGTAAATGCTAGAGTGTTCGGGAGAGGGGTGGGATTAAATTATGGGGAATCAAATACAAAATGGGAATTGACAGAGTTGCTTTTTGCTGATGATACTGTGCTTATGGGAGATTCTAAAGAAAAATTGCAAAGGTTAGTGGATGAGTTTGGGAGTGTGTTTAAAGGTACAAAGTTGAAAGTGAACATAGAAAAGAGTAAGGTGATGAGGGTATCAAATGATTTAGATAAAGAAAAATTGGATATTAAATTGGGGAGGAGGAGTATGGAAGAAGTGAATGTTTTCAGATACGTACTTGGGAGTTGACGTGCCAGCAGATGGATTTATGAAGGATGAGATTACAGTGGACCCTCAACCAGCGATATTAATCCGTTCCTGAGAGCTCATCGTTAATCGAAATAATCGTTAGTCAAGTTAATTTTCCCCATAAGAAATAATGGAAATCAAATTAATCCGTGCAAGACACCCCAAAGTATTGAAAAAAAAAAAAATTTTACCACATGAAATATTAATTTTAATACACACAAACTGAAGAAGACATGCACAGTTACATGACACTTACCCTTATTGAAGATCTGGTGATGATTGATGGGATGGGAGGAGGGGAGATCGTTGATTTTCTTAGTGTTTAGAAGGGGAATCCTCTTCCATTAGCACTTGAGGTAGCAAGTCTTTTTCTGGGGTTACTTCCCTTGTTCTTTTAATGCCACTAGGACCAGCTTCAGAGTCACTGGACTTCTGTCGCACAACATATCTGTCCATAGATACCTGTACCTCTCGTTCCTCTATGACTTTCCTAAAGTGGTTCACAACATTGTCAGTGTACAGGTTGCCAACACGGCTTGCAGTAGCTGTGTCAGGGTAATTTTCATCAAAAAAGGTTTGCACTTCAAGCCACTTTGCACACATTTCCTTAATCTTAGAAGTAGGCAACTTCTTCAATTTCTCTATCCCCTCCTCTGAAGCAGTTTCCTCAGGTCTGCCCTCTTGCTGTTCAAGATGATCTAGCAGCTCATCAGTGGTTAGTTCTTCATTGTCCTCCTCCACCAGCTCTTCCACATCCTCCCCACTAACCTCCAACCCCAAGGACTTCCCCAATGCCACAATGGATTCCTCAACTGGCATAGGATTCTCAGGGTTAACCTCAAACCCTTCAAAACCCCTTTTGTCTACACATTCTGGCCACAGTTTTTTCCAAGCAGAGTTCAAGGTCCTCTTAGTTACTTCCCCCCAAGCCTTACCTATAATGTTTACACAATTGAGGATGGTAAAATGATCTTTCCAAAACTCTCTTAGAGTCAGTTGAGTTTCTGAGGTCACTACAAAGCACCTTTCAAACATAGCTTTTGTGTACAGTTTCTTGAAGTTGGAAATGACCTGCGGGTCCATGGGCAGCAGGAGAGGAGTGGTATTAGGAGGCAAAAACTTCACCTTAATGAAGCTCTTGTCCCTAGAAAGTCACTCTGCCAAGTCTGAAGGATGACCAGGAGCATTGTCTAATACCAGGAGGCACTTAAGGTCTAATTTCTTTTCAATTAGGTAATTTTTCACATTGGGGGCGAATTCATGGTGTAACCAGTCATAGAAAAAGTCCCTAGTGACCCATGCCTTACTGTTTGCCCTCCACAGCACACACAAATTAGCCTTGACGGCATTGTTTTTCCTGAACACTCTGGGAGTTTCAGAGTGATGCACCAATGAAGGCTTCACTTTGCAATCACCACTAGCATTGGCACACATCAACAGAGTAAGCCTGTCTTTCATAGGCTTATGTCCTGGGAGTGCCTTTTCCTCCTGAGTAATGTACGTCCTGCTTGGCATTTTCTTCCAAAACAGGCCTGTTTCGTCACAATTAAACACTTGTTCAGGTTTCAGTCCTTCACTGTCTGTGTACTTCTTGAATTCCTGCACATATTTTTCAGCCGCTTTGTGGTCCGAACTGGCAGCCTCACCATGCCTTATCACACTATGAATGCCACTATGCTTCTTAAATCTCTCAAACCAACCTTTGCTGGCCTTAAATTCACTCACATCACTAGTTGCTGTCATTTTTTTAATTAAATCGTCATGCAACTTCCTAGCCTTTTCACATATGATCGCTTGAGAGACTCTATCTCCTGCTATCTGTTTCTCATTTATCCACACCAATAAGAGTCTCTCAACATCTTCTACCGCTTGCGATCTCAGTTTCGAAAACATAGTTGCACCTTTGGCAAGAACAGCTTCCTTGATTGCCGTTTTCTTGCCCACAATAGTAGCGATGGTTGATTGGGGTTTATTATACAACCTGACCAGCTCAGAGACACGCACTCCACTTTCATACTTAGCAATGATCTCTTTCTTCATCTCCATAGTAATTCTCACCCTTTTTGCTGTAGGGTTGGCACTAGAAGCTTTCTTGGGGCCCATGGTGACTTATTTTGCAGGTGCAATCGCTACAAAGGCTGTGATAATATGAATTGTTCCAGTTGTATGTTTGGAAGCGACCGCAGTGGCTGGCTTGTAAACACTGGCACCCACGGAACAAGTGAGGCGCGCTCAGGCCAAAGTGGACGCGTCTCGTTCAGAACGAATAGCGCTGGTCGGGTTTTTAAGCGCTAGTCGAGGCAAAATTTTTTGCGTTAAGATGTATCGCTAGTCAGATTTATCGTTAATCGATGCCATCGCTGGTTGAGGGTCCACTGTAATCATAGAATTGATGAGGGAAAAAAGGTGAGTGGTGCATTGAGGTATATGGGGAGACAAAATAATGTTATCTATGGAGGCAAAGAAGGGAATGTATGAAAGTATAGTAGTACTAACACTCTTATATGGGTGTGAAGCTTCGGTTGTGAATGCAGCAGCGAGGAGGCGGTTGGAGGCAGTGGAGATGTCCTGTCTAAGGGCAATATGTGGTGTAAATATTATGCAGAAAATTCGGAGTGTGGAAATTAGGAGAAGGTGTGGAGTTAATAAAAGTATTAGAGGGATGAAGAGGGGTTGTTGAGGTGGTTTGGTCATTTAGAGAGAATGGATCAAAGTAGAATGACATGGAGAGCATTTAAATCTGTAGGGCAAGGAAGGTGGGGTAGGGGTATCCTCGAAAAGGTTGGAAGGAAGGGGTAAGGGAGGTTTTGTGGGCGAGGGGCTTGGCCTTCCAGCAGGCGTGCATGAGCGTGTTCGATA